CTAAGTCTTTTTTTTTATTAGAAGCTTGTCGCTGATAGAAGTAGTCGGTCACGATAAGTTGACAATACACAAGCAAAATAATTACATACGGTATTTCAACAGAATCAGAAGTTCAACAACTGATTCATGACAATGCTCGCCTAGGTGATGTGATATTCTTCACAAATGGCTCCGTGATGTGAGGCAGATGAAGCTCATGGGGGTTCCTAGCAAAAGTAAATGGGAGTCGCTTGATGCAACAAAACCTGGCATATGATGCCACAAATTCTAGTTGGAGAATGGAGGTAGAGGCAGTACCTGCAGCCTTTCGCTGGTTTAAGAATCAGCTGTAAACACATGTCGTAATTGTAACCGACTCACAGAGCATATTGGGGAAATGTGGAGACCGGTATGCTCCGTGAAAAGTGGCAAGCATTGCTTCAAAGGTCTCGGGTAGCTACATTCGGATATTTTCCCCAGGATGTGCCGTTGTATTAGGAAATGTACATGCAATAGACTGGCTGGTTCTGCACAGCATGACGGAGTACTCATGCATGACAAGTTAGATGTTGTTAGGGCCCTTTGGGGGAGAGTGAACAGTGAGGTAGCACAGAAGGATCATCATGAGAATGGTACTGCGAGGAATGACCAGGGGATCGGGTCGATGATCAACACTCCAGGAAAAGGTGAGACGGATATACGGTCAGATTGCTATGGGTACCACTTGAATTGAAACTCTACGTTTGCTGCTGAAAATGGGGACAGAGCGCTTATGTTATGGGAGTATCCCGAGTGCTGTAATGTTGATTCGTAATTAAGTATTAAAAGACATTCCTCGTGTAAACTGGATAATGTTATCAACAACATGCCGCCTGCCTTTACTTCCCACGGCATTGCTTCATGTCCTTTTTTATTTTTAGGCTGGGTCGACATTGGAGCCAAAGTCCATATTAAAGACTATACCGCCTAACTGCGGATTCGAACCTAAAGCCTTCGAGCTGGCAGGCGAGCATCTAGCGACTAAGCTATGCTAAGGTTAATTGCGTATCCTTTGCAGGACGTTGCAGAACCAACCCCAGCAGCCCCTGGCTGTTGTGTGGTTTCTCATGGCAAATTTCCGTCCTGTAGTTTGCCATTCCACTGGACGGTCGGCCCCCTGATACCACTGTCGAAACCAACACAAGGCGCATGGCCCGCAGCTGGGATCGAACCCGGCACCCCAGCATTACGAAGCGTTCGCATTGACAGCCACAGAGCCGACAAGCTATGCTAAACTGTCGTTAAATATCATCTGCATAACTGCTGCTTTTAGGAGGCACTCATGTTGAGGTCTAAGTGCAGAATAGACAGAAGACATAAAATATTTCTTGAAACGTGACATTTCTAATGTTACAGCGACTTGCAGACCCCGATTCCTATAGAATCTAGAATGTGGTAATAAAGCCTGAAAAATCAATACTGATCATGAACACAGCAGAAACACTGGGGAGTTATTTTATGGTCTGTTAGACTCAAGACACCGGACGACGAACAGATCATGTGAAAATACAGGGATTGATGCCAGTGTTGCCACTTTGGACGTTTTACATCCAGATTTAGTTGTTTCCCCCTGCTTTTAGATGGCGTTTTTGACGTTTAGATGGTAGATGTTTTTCTCGATTTTTCATTTGGAGTGAATTTATCAAATCTACCCTTCTTCTTCTTCTTCTTTCGTTCGTCTGAAATAAGTTGGTTATATCAGCAATTTTGTCTCTTGTATAAATTTCACTGTTGTTGTTAATTCATTCAGTGGTCCACAGAGTTTACGTTCCACTGTTGTTCTTTCTGGCCAAAAGGTTTGTCTTAATGTGTCAAATTCGGTGCAGTCCTGGAGTAGATGCTCTGCTGTCTGGGACACCTTTCCACAGGTGCACATGGCTGATACGCCTATCTCAAATTTTGTGTACATGTGGTTACGTAATCGGTTGTGCCCTGTTCGGAGGCGGAGGATAACGACTTGTTCCGATCTGTCCATTATAAAATAGTCGCCTTGTGCTGGGGCTGGTGGTTTCCTGATTGATTTAATGATTCTTTTCTTTTGGTGGTATGTGACTGGTACATCCGGCTGCACTTTTGTCGCAACTTCCCCTGCCAGTTGATCAGCTTTCTCATTTCCAGGCACTCCACAATATGATGGTATCCACTGTATTACAACTCTTCGCTGAAGGCTAAGTTGTGTCAGCAGTGTTTGCAATTCTGGTAGTTTCCTAGACTGGAGTGCTTCAAGTACTGATTTTGCATCTGTCAGCATTACCACAAACTGTGAGCCAAGATTTGTATTTAGCAGTTTCTTTGTTGCTATCTTGATAGTCTGAGTTTCTGCATCATAGTTATGGCAGTACTTTCCGGTTGGTACGCTGGACTTATCCCTAGTACTATCTGGGAATTCTATGTACACTCCAGCACCACCATTTCTAACTGCACTTTCTGCGGACCCATCTGTATAGACTCTGACCCATTGTTCTTGTGGGTATTCTTCATCAATATTACTGAGGGTGGCCATTCTGCGTTGTACACTATTTTTTTCTTTCTTGTTAAATATTCTTTTCACATTTGTCTGGATTTGTACTGGTAGTTTGCATTTCTCTCTCCATGGGGTTTGTTCTGGAATACTGTTAAGTGGACAACCAATTTCTGGAAGGTCAGGAGTTTGTCTACATATTCTTTTTGCTTGGTGTATAAAGCTGCTTCTTTTTAACCGTCCCAAGGCTAGGTTCTGAAATCTATTTTTCCTGGGGTGATCTGGCATACAGAGGAACTTTTCTGCTTGTATTTACAACTTTGTATCAGTACCTGTGTTTTTCCAGCTTTCTCCATTTCTAATATGGGGGTTGATTTCATCCCTCCTGTGATGACTCTGAGTGCTTGATTTTGCACTTTGTCCAACTTCTTTAATATGGTACTAGATGCGGAACACCAAGCAGTTGATCCATATTCCAAGTGTGGTTGTATGCTCTAAATCTAACCAAAGAAAGAGGATGAAATTTTACCTATTAAATGCTATCTTGACAATAAAATTCGGCCTCATAAGAGTAAGAAAAGGCTGTTACACTTATCAGCTCCCTGATTAGGTATCAAAAGAAATTGGAACAGCTAAAGCATACCAGAGTCATTTTGGATTTGAAGCTTCAACTTCATCATCCGAGCTAAGTTTATCCTGTGGATCCTGTAAGGCAGACTTCAGTAAAGATGAGGATATGATTCTACAGGGTAAGTCATTTCAATTGCAATGTAATTTTTGACTCTTTCCATTTTAATGTTTTTTCTAGATGTTTTCCACGCAAATTTAGATGTTTTCATATATTTTTGACTCCGTTTTGGATGTGTGTGTGTGTGTGTTTGTTTTTTCAAAGAAAAGTGGCAACACTGATTGATGCCTCTGTATGCAGACAAACAGACTACAAGAGGAGGTCTCAATTTAGCGCTCCCTTAAAATTGGAAAGTTTATAGCCTAGACGGAAATATCTTAAAACTGGAGCAATTTTCCGGTAAAATACGACATTGCCAGGTCAGAAAGGGCGAGGTATGTAAAATCAAACGTCTAGGATAAATATCAAGCATCAGTCCAAAAACTGGATTCTTTCTAATTTTATGTGTCTGGCTATTTGCTGAATTTTAATAATAATTACCATTCTCTGAATACAGAACTGTGTTACATTTGTGCATTTTTTTTCTTAGCCACCGTATTATCAAATACTAAAAGGGAGCTTTTTAAGGTAAAGCTATGGAGAAGGAAGATAAAAAAAAAAAAAAAAAGAAGCAGGCGACGTAGACGAAGAGGAGGGGATGGAGGAAAGAGGAGGAGAAGATGGAAGATATAAAAAAAAAGAGGTGGAAGAAGTAGCTGTAGAAGAAGAGGGTAACGAAGAGAAGGTAGAAGAAGAAGAGGAGGAGGAGAAGAAGGAAAACAAATAGTACCATGTGGTACAAGTTCTAGGTTCGACGTGGGAGCTCGAGTCCTTTTAGAGGATTTGAACACACGACAAATAAGCTCTTCATCTGGCAGCCTTTCTCACACAGCATTCGTTTAACTACTTAAGAATATATTAATCGTTGATACTAATTAAGAAAAGCGGCTGGAGCAGGGTTAAGAACGCTGGGCTCTCATGCATGCATGCAGACAGACAGACAGACAGACAGACAGACAGACAGACAGACAGACAGACAGACAGACAGACAGACAGACAGACAGACAGACAGACCGACCGACAGACCGGCAGACCGGCAGACAGACAGACAGACCGGCAGACCGACAGGTTGGTAGGTAGGTATGTAGGTAGGTATGTAGGTAGGTAGGTAGGTAGGTAGGTAGGTAGGTAGGTAGGTAGGTAGGTAGGTAGGTAGGTAGGTAGGTAGGTAGGTAGGTAGGTAGGTAGGTAGGTAGGTAGGTAGGTAGGTAGGTAGGTAGGTAGATGGGTAGACAGAGTCTTGCAAGACAGGTTGTGGAGTCTGTTTAGCACGAAGACACCGAAAGAGAGTCGATTGGCTCATGCCTAGTTTAGATGAGTGTTTATTAAGTGCCCAGTGCAGAAGCGAACATTTTATCTTGGTCTCTTCACGGTCGAGACTTAAAATTAGCATTAGCAATGTCACCATTATTCGTTTCCCCCTATACTACTGTGTTTCTGGAATCGACACTGTCTTTTAAAAATGGACATTGTGTAATTTCCAAAACTGCCTTGATTGAAAGAAGCGGAGAAGGCCGCTTTGCGTGTCCATCTGTCATGACGTGCTTGCTGCATCTTGCGTATGACTTCTTTTTATGATTGGTTTGTTCTTATATCTTGTATGGTAATATTCATCCTGAGCTGTCGTCTGTCCTTGAGGTCAGTGTCCTTTCGGTTGTTGTTGTGGGGTCCTGATATGGATTTGTCGTATTGAGGGTCATTGTTGTCCTCTGAGATTCCCAGGCAAGTAACAAGACTGCCATCAGGCTCCGACTGATCCTTTAGATTCACCCTTAACTCATAAACATATCTTACCTGTTTGTAAAATCCATGTCTGAGCTTGTAGTAATCATGTGAAGCATCGTCGTGCTGTTGATGAGAAAATAGATCAATATAAGTGAGGGCATGTTACTATGCAGAGCTTATGGTATTTGTTAGTTATTTAGTTAGTTATTTAGTTAGTCAGTTAGTTAGTTTAGTTAGTCAGTAAGTTGGTTGGTTGGTTAGTTAGTTAGTTAGTTAGTTAGTTAGTTAGTTAGTTAGTTAGTTAGTTAGTTAGTTAGTTAGTTAGTTAGTTAGTTAGTTAGTTAGTTAGTTAGTTAGTTAGTTAGTTAGTTAGTTAGTTAGTTAGTTAGTTAGTTAGTTAGTTAGTTTTAGTTAGTTAGTTAGTTAGTTAGTTAGTTAGTTAGTTAGTTAGTAGTTAGTTAGTTAGTTAGTTAGTTAGTTAGTTAGTTAGTTAGTTAGTTAGTTAGTTAGTTAGTTAGTTAGTTAGTTAGTTAGTTAGTTAGTTAGTTTAGTTAGTTAGTTAGTTAGTTAGTTAGTTAGTTAGTTAGTTAGTTAGTTAGTTAGTTAGTTTAGTTAGTTAGTTAGTTAGTTAGTTAGTTAGTTAGTTAGTTAGTTAGTTAGTTAGTTTTAGTTAGTTAGTTAGTTAGTTTAGTTAGTTAGTTAGTTAGTTAGTTAGTTAGTTAGTTAGTTAGTTAGTTAGTTAGTTAGTTAGTTAGTTAGTTAGTTAGTTAGTTAGTTAGTTAGTTAGTTAGTTAGTTAGTTAGTTAGTTAGTTAGTTAGTTAGTTAGTTAGTTAGTTAGTTAGTTAGTTAGTTAGTTAGTTAGTTAGTTAGTTAGTTAGTTAGTTAGTTAGTTAGTTAGTTTAGTTTAGTTAGTTAGTTTAGTTAGTTAGTTAGTTAGTTAGTTAGTTAGTTAGTTAGTTAGTTAGTTAGTTAGTTAGTTAGTTAGTTAGTTAGTTAGTTAGTTAGTTAGTTAGTTAGTTAGTTTAGTTAGTTAGTTAGTTAGTTAGTTAGTTAGTTAGTTAGTTAGTTAGTTAGTTAGTTAGTTAGTTAGTTAGTTAGTTAGTTAGTTAGTTAGTTAGTTTTAGTTAGTTAGTTAGTTAGCTAGATTCGCAACGTGTAGTGGCTTCTGTTCTTCCTGCAAAGTGCTCTTATCTGGCCACAGCCCGTTTAACATGCTTTTCTTGCAGACTGGTCATGATTGCAGATTCACAGTCACTCACTCTGTTTTCGCAAACGTCTTACTTCTCTGGAGCATTCCGTATTTTGGTATTGAAGAAAGAGAGGAGTATAAGCAATCGAACACAGGCCTTCATTCGACAAGCTAAGGCGTCATATCCTTTGCAATCGCTGGCAGCTTATCCAATGTCATCCCGAGTTTCTTCGCCCCACTCTCCACTTTCCTTCTCAGCGTGGTTTTTGATCTACCTTTGTTACTTTATGAAGTCATCGTGGTGTAGCGGCTAGATACTCGCTTGCACATCTGAAGGTCATGGGTTCAAATCCGTAAGTGGTCGGATTGTGTTCTTACATGACCTTATTTGTCAGGTCGACCCAGCACTAAATAGGTATTAGGTAAATTCATAGGAAGTACGTGCGGCCTATGTGATGTTGATCACATCACAAATCAAGGGCAGATGACTCTATACAATATGAATCTAGCCTCAAATGCCGGATGCGCCACTATCTAGTAAACGGTCCATTACTTTGGTTTGTTTCTTTGACCCGGTGGATTCCAGTTCAAGAACATCCTAGTTACATTGCTATATTGTTATCTGGTTTTCTCGTTATGTATCCAATGCAACATCGGCAACTTTTCCTAATCACCTAGAACTTGTTTCATCATCACGTAGCAGGTCCTTTGCAGAACGTCGCTCTCATCACAGCCTGTCTGAAAGTAACTCGATCTTTCGCCAGCTCTCCCGCATTGTACACTCTCCTAGGCAATGTCTATTATATATCCTGTGCCAATCTTCGTGCTAGTCGGTCCCTGCTCCTCTTTCCTGGTACCAAGCTTTCTGCTACTACTCTTTCCAAAATGCAGTGCGCTTGATATGGTCTATATGTTTAATTTCCAAGACACGATTCTGTTTAGCAGCCAATTTTCCTTTGATGTTGATTTGATCTGCTATATATGTGTAACCTTTTTTTTTAAATAAATCTTTTACATTATTTTATTACCTTCAGTAGTGTGTTTCATATGTCGGCTCTGTGGCTAAGTCGATGCGAACGCTTCGTAATGCCAGGATGCCGGGTTCGATCCCAGCTGCGGGCCATGCACCTTGCGTTGGTTCCGACAGTGGTATCAAGAAAGCCGACCGTCTAGAAAGCAATGACAAACTACTGGACGTAAATTTGCCTAGAAAAACCACACAACAGCCTTGGGCTGTTGGAGTTGGTTCTGCAACGTCCTGTAAAGGATACGTAACTAACCTATTCAGTATGACTCATATGTTTCATAAAATATATTGTTTTTAGCCATTTATTTTGTTAATTAGTTGAATTTTAAGTAAAACATTTCAAATACATATGTTTGCGCCGCCTTGACTTGTAATAATTATTTGAACTGATTTTTTAAATACATTATTTATATGTATTTGTTTTCTATTATTCAGCGTGTTTATTTAGCTTGTTTCAAATATATATCACCTTTATTATAAGACATCCCTCTCCTCAGAAACAAATGTAAAAATTTATGAAGCACAGCTTTATTTGCTTGAATAGCAATGGGATAGTGAAGCCACTGTGCGTTTTCTGCAATGTTGTTTTCAGTGACGAGTCTGAGAAAATACCGTCAATGTTGAATGTTGGATTAGGAATCGATATTACAGCACTCGGGAAAGACCCACAAGTGTTTCGTTCCCATCTTCAGCAGCATGCAAGGAGTTCTAATTCCGATGGCACCAGTAACTGTCTGATTGTAAATCCATCTCGCCTCTCTCTCTTGAGTGTTGAGCGTCGGTCAAATCCCCTGGAAACCCCTCGCAGCTCAATATTGCTATTTGTGCCTCTGCACTGTTCACTCTCTTCCAACGGACCCTTACAATATATAGCTTGCCATATATCAATTCACTACAAAGTGGTACAGAACATGTAAGTATATCTGCCTGCTCGTTTCCTAAAACACACGCATGCCCTGGGGAAAATTTCCAAAGGACACTAACTAGCCATGTCCTATAAAGCGATGCTTGCCACTCTGCACGGAGCATGGGTGACGTAACGCATTGTTACCGCGGTTTTATGACGTCAGTAGCATGTCCGGTCTGATGGAGATGGTCTAGACGGGACCAGGTAAGGTTTTAAGAAGTAAAGGCAGCCGCTGTGATGTTGACCACATCACCCACCGAGTGCCGGATTGGTATATAAAATATACGTCTAACACTATATGCCCAATACACCCCAAGGCCTGGGAAAAGGTTCTTTACTCACTTTATCTTTAGCGTCTTGGAAATTATTGCATGCAAGCTTCCTCCTGATTATCTAGGCTCCATAATAATAGCAATGGAGACTGTTTGGCATAAATCAAAAACAAGATGGCCATAGCCAAGCAAAGATTAAATAAACAGCATTAAAAGTCTATGGTTAAGCACCAGCAAAAAAAAATCAAAATTAAATTTTTTAGAGCATGCATTTTCCTTGCAGCAATTACGGATGTGAGTCGTGAACTATCTTCCGGGCCTTTGAGAAAGGAAATAGGGACATTAGAGCTAAAATGCTATAGAAAGATTCTCAGAAAACCATGTTATTTTAAAACTCTAAACATCAAGGAAGATTTTCTAATAAAGAGTATCTTGTCTCAGAAGCAAAAATATTTTGGTCATATCAAGCGCCATGGCAGATTAGAAGAAAAAATAATAGCAGAAGACATGGTACCAGGAAGGAGGGGCAGGGGCCGACCAAAACGAAGATCAGAACAGGATATAAGTGATTCCTTGAATATAAAGTACACGAGGCGCAAGAGCTGGCGAGAGTTTCTTTCAGGCAGACCCTGATGAGAGCGACCCTCATGAGTTTTGCAAAGGACCTGCTACATGGTGATGATGAAGCCTTCTCCAGTGTGTTTTAGAATTAATGATTACAGTAATACAGAACAATAAGTGAAATAAGCTTTGTACATCTGTTCATTCCTAACAGTTTTACCGTGTGGACCCACTGACTCAACTAGCACTGCGTAAGATTCGACTAACTGGAGCTCCAAGTCGGAGTGCATCTACATGAGAGGCCAGGAACCAACAATCTGCATTCAAATATATCAGATCTAAAAAACGGGCTACAATTAGAGTACATTGCTGAGCAAAGCTTTATGCACAGAGGTTATACTTCTTCTCCTTCTTCTGTGTGCACACCTAATAGGGATGGTGGCATGTTCTGTTGGGTTTTTACAGCTAGATTGTGATATCTTTTGCCCACAATTTTCGATTTCAGCTAATAATTAATCAGTTGCCTTCTACGACGCGCTTGCTAAGAAGTATTTATATTTAGCCCTTAAAAAGCGCGCCCCGAACCCACACGGAATAAGTGTTATTTGACTCAGTTAAGGTATAGACCTATTGGCTCGCCGGTAGACGACTTTGTCTGGACAGTATTTGGGTCTATTTCAGGAGTTGCATCCACATTAAAGGAGTCCTTTTTTAGGGATCTTCGTGGCGTGCAACACTAAACCATTTTATATGGCGCACAAAGCCTCGTCACAATTATAACCTAAAGTCTCCCCCCCCCCCCCCCCACCCTTTCGGGGATGCTGGTTTAACTTGATGATTTTTTTTCTTTCCAACAAAGCACCTCCCTACCAGCAAATAGGAGAGTAAGGTGACATGAACGTTAGATGATAAGTAAAGCCCAGGATTCTCAGTAGATCATTTGGCTTATGGATTCTGGCATTTTCCATTATCAGCCATGCACAGTTCGGCTCCTCCTTGTTACCTGTACGCACCATAAGCTCCTCAACGAATGTGCGGATCCGTTCGTCCGTGCAGGTGCCATCACTGATGATCTTTGAGTGAACTATCCCTTGGTTATTCATAGCCCTAGTTAGTGTAACCTCTAAGTCTCTCACAGTTGGTAGGACTATGTTTGATCCTGTTCTTCTTCTTAGGCAAGCCTGCGTCTGTCGCAGACGAAGGT